CTCTCTGACTATTACAGTAACTGCAGATCGTTCCCGCTGCTGGCGGTGATCCCCGTTCCCTGGCCAAACGCCAGCCCGGGTGATTTCAGTTTTGCCTGTTGATGCCTAAATTCCTTATTGCCGTTCGAGACTCCTTCTTCCCTTCGTGTCCTACCGTGCAACGTCATGTTTCTGCATGTTGTTTAATCAGCCACCTTTTTCCATCTTCCGCCCCGGAGATGCCTACAGTTCAGGGGTGGCTGTAGTTCCCTTCGAGATCCTTCAGGCTGTAAAACAAGTGATGTCATCCCTTTGCTTAGCAAGTGCCACTTTCTCTTGGAAAGTCAATAAATGCCTCCGCTTCCTTTAGTACCCTTAATCCGGTGGGAAGGTGGAAAATAAGAGGCTGTCACTAGCAATTCTTCCTTTGAAATCTGGGGGGGGTGTGGGGAGAGGGCTGGGATGCTCCGTTCAGCTGGAGAAGGGGATGCCTTCTCTCTGAAGAAACGCAGCCGGCGGGTGGGTGAAGCCCCTCGCCCCCCCGGGGTGCTGCCCAGGGCAGCGTGCGGGGAGGGGTTCCCGCTGGGGACCCTGCGCTACCTGCCCCCACGCAGGGTGCGGGATGCCGTCCTTGCAGGAGGAGAGCGCATCCCGGCGTTAGGGCACCCACATCCCAACGGGCACTCGGAGCGGGATGAATTCCTCTCCGGGGGGAGCGGAGGGCTGAGAACAAGAACAGTCCCATAAATTCCAGCTGACAAATGCTTTAATGTGAACTCCATCACCAGATGCCGAGTGGGTCCAGGTGTAGCTGGAACAAACAGCCACAACCGCACAGAGCCGTAAAGATAACGAGCGCGGGGCCGGCGAGGGCATCGCCGCAGAGGGGCCCGGCAACGTCAGTGCTATTTTTACCCCCACCCTACTTTGTCTCTGAGGAGGTTTATATTTAGCAGCCTGGAGCTGCCGGCACTCCGGTCGGTGGCAAGGGTTGGCGGGGAGGGGGAAGGATTCGGACCGAAGTTTGTGCAGCACAGATTTTTGTCAGTGCAAAGGTGTTTGCCTCCTAAACCCCTCGCACCGCTTTGAGGAGAGCGAGCGGACAGGGAGGGAGGTGGAAAGACCCTTTCCCCTCATCCTTCGCCTGGAGGCGGATTGTCTTTTCTGTTCCCTGCATCTTTGCTGGTCCAGGAGCCCAGGGCCCTTCTGGAGGTTATGGGTTGGTGTGGGTGGGGGATTGCACTCTACAACTATCTGAAAGGAGGTTGCAGAGAGGTGGGAGTTGACCTCTTCTGACAAGTACCGGGTGATAGAACAAGAGGAAATGGGTTCAAGTTTCACCAAGGGAAGTTTAGGTTGGATATTAGGAAGAATTTCTTTACTGAGAGGGTCATCAGGCGTTGGAACGCGTTACCCAGGGCAGCGGTGCAGTCCCCATCCCTGGAGGGATTTAAGGGTCGTGTAGATACAGTGCTCAGAGACATGGTTTAGTGGTGGGCTTGGCAGTGTTGGGTTAATGGTTGGACTAGATGATCTTACAGGTCTTTTTCAGTCTAGGAGATTCTGTGATTCTGTCCTGGATTGCTCTCCGGACTGTCCTGTGCCACTCTCTGCCCTGGTGGGACTTTGTCCCCATCACGGCAGGGTGACTGCTGTCCTTTGGGCACGGCAGGCGTAGGGGGAACAATGAGTGGCTCTGCAGCATCCCCCAGCCCAGTCCCTCCCAGTCCCAGGCACGGAGCCCTTTCCAAACAGGCAGGAGAGGTGATGGTGCTCAGAGTTGGGATCTGTCCTCCTTGGTCCTGCGCACGCCTGTTATCCGGGACTTGGGTACACTTCTTTCATCCGCTGCTGGGGGTGAACAGCATTGCTAAACCTCTCGTGAAACACAGAGCCTTCCTCTCCAAGCTGCGATTTAAACATCTGGGGGGACTCATGCAACTCCTCCTCCCCTGCCCGTTCCTAGCGAAGGCAGCCCGGTGTCCTCAGGTGTCCTCAGGTGGGTTTCAAGTCAGGGAACTGCAGCACTTGCTGCTGCGGGGGTGTCCTTGCACTGGCTGTGTCACGGACACGTGCGAGGGTCACTCAGGATGGTACCAGAGCACAGTTTGTTCATGTTACCTTCACCAGGGATGCATGGAAACTTGCTTATGCCCTCAATGAAAGAATAACCACACTGGGGCTTATCTGAACATTAGCATGGAAAGACCGTCTTTTATTTGAGCCTCTGATGTACCTGCTGGGAGCATCACAGGTTTCCCCTGAGCTCCTGTTTCCCATGTGGGAGTAAATCCGTGCCTAGCACAGGAGCCTCTGCGGCGTTTACTTGTGCCACTTCAGCAGTGTCAGCGTGCACAGCTGGAGCCGAACACTTCGGTCGGTTGAGTTCCTTGGGTTCCTGCAACACCAGCAGCATCTCCTTGCACCCGCAGCGCCTCGGTTAAAACTTGCTTAGCTCGCAAGGTAGGGAACCAGGTCAGAGCCATGGTCTGGAAAAACGGTCTCCACGGCAAACGTCAAGCTTTGCCTTCCCTTCGGATGGAAGAGCACTGCGTGGAGACTTTCTTGGCCATGAAGAAAGCACCAGCACGGAGACTTTGTTTGTGCGGGGCTCACTGGTGCCAGCTGCTTTGTTGTCAAAGCATGTTTCTGTGGTGCTGAGGAAACATTTAAATGTCTGAAGCCTGGAGTGGATGTGTCCAGCATCCTCCTGCCTCGCTCCGCAACTCAAAGCGGCTTCCAGCCTCCCTTCCCACCCCCAGCTGAACACCCCAGCCCTGATTCCAGGTACACAAGCAGCGAGACTTCGCCCTTAGGAATTGGTGGCATTAAAGGTGGGAGAGGAGCGGGGGTGGCTGAGGGCTGCGAGTCCCCAGGCGTGGGGTGAATCCCAGGGATTTTCAGGGGATTGCACCCACAGCAGGGTGCCGTGCCTCGCAGGGGAGCGTGGCAGACACGCAAGGGGAGTGTTTATATTGCGGAGGGATAATCTTTTAAGCTTTCAGATGCAGGCATGTCAGCCCAAGTGTTCCCGTTGCCCTGGCGACGCGATGCATTAGCTCCCGGATGCTGTGTCTGATCGCATCAGGCTGGAATGGGATCACCATCACCGTTTGTTTGTTTGCGTTGATCAGCCCCGGAGGGGGGCTGGGAGAGGTGGGGAGGGGGCTGCTCAGCCGCCGGGGGGACACCCAGCAGGTGGGGGGCCGACCTGCGCCAGGGGTGCAGGACAAGTCGCG